TATTATATATATATATATATATATATATATATATATAATATATATATATATATATATGTAAAAAAAAGTTTTTTTTTTTTAAACCTACTGACTCTAGATTATAGATTCGAATTGTCAAAGCACAAAAATGCCCTACATAAGGTAGTATTATCCATTTAAATTAATGGCATTCCATATTTTTCTAAATATTTACTTTTTATTTTTTAATCTAACCATTAAACTCTCACAACCCCATATTTGTAACAAAAATTATTCAATGGATAACATAATTTTACACTAATTGTTTACCTTGTTGTTATGGTGTAAACTCTCTCTCTTTTGCTTCTCTAGAGGAAATTGAAGCGATTTTGGGTGTTATTTGCTCTTTATCTGAAAACTCTTCGTGTTTCTTATCGACCATTTAGAGGTTAGTTTTTTTCTTGGAATATTTTTAATTTGGTGTTTCTGAATTTTAATGTAATGTTTATATATTCATGAAATATTCTATTGTTGATCATACATAATGGTGATTGGATTTTCCTTAATTGGCATTGATACAAATTATTTCCAACATTTTTTTCTTTTCAAACATGTTTTACTTGAGCCAAAGATATATCGTAAATATCTTCTCTACCCAACAAAAGGTCGGATTAAGGTCTGCCTATACACTAGATCGACCGGTTACCCCCTGTAATTGACCCCTAAGCTCGAGGGAATCGGAAACTATTGTATCTTTTCTAAAACGGCACTCTCCCTTTCCAAACCTAACTTATGAAATTATACTGAATATGTCATTGTTCGGCATCGATACAAGTTATGCACCTCCTTTTTTTTCATTCTAATGCTCTAAATCAAGAAATAACAAGATTATGATAGGATCTAATCTCCTTAATCAGAATTTGGAACAAGATTAACTATTTGTATGAAAATCAAAGTAAATTTAAATAAAAACACATCTGAACTATCACTTTTTCATGTAAGTAGAAATTGATAAAACGTTGAAAGACACATGTCTTATCCTTCAAAAGTAATGTACTTTTAAGGATATGACACGAGTACTGCGCTAAATTTTGGAGAGACCAAGCAACATAGTTTACCATCTATGTAACTACTCAAATAGTTTTTTGACACTGCTTACGAAAAATTCTGCGTACGCCACTGACTTAAACTCCGTGTCTAATGTTTTTAAACAGGAAGGAAAATGACAGAAGCAAAAGAAACAAGTACACCTTTGATGCCACCTTCATCAAACAAGTTGCCAGATTACAACAAATCAGTTAAGTTGAAATATGTAAAACTTGGTTACCATTACCTCATTACTCATGGAATGTATCTTTTATTAACTCCATTAGTAGCTGTGGTTGCTGCTCACATGTCAACAATTACACCTCAAGATCTATCTGAATTATGGGACAATCTTCAATACAATCTCATATCTGTAATTTCATGTTCAACACTTATAGTAATCGTATTAACTGTCTACGTAGTAACACGTCCTCGTCCTGTGTACCTTGTGGACTTCAACTGTTACAAGCCTAGTGAAGCATTTAAGTGCACAATGCAGACTTTCATGGATCAGTCTAAGCTAACTGGTGCATTTTCTGAGGAGAATCTTGATTTCCAACGGCGGATTTTACAGCGATCAGGACTTGGAGACAACACGTATTTCCCTGAGGCTTTGCTCAACATACCACCAAATCCGTCTTTGAAAGAAGCTAGGAAAGAGGCAGAGACGGTTATGTTTGGTGCTATTGATGGTCTGTTGGCTAAAACGAACATGAAAACGAAGGACATTGGGATATTGATTGTGAATTGCAGTTTGTTTAATCCAACTCCGTCTTTGTCTGCAATGATCATAAATCATTATAAGCTTAGAGGGAACATAGCTAGTTATAATTTAGGCGGAATGGGATGTAGTGCAGGGGTAGTTTCTATCGATCTTGCTAAAAAATTACTTCAAGTGCATCCAGGTACATATGCATTGGTTGTTAGTACAGAGAATATAACACTCAATTGGTATCTTGGAAATGACAGATCAAAATTAGTGTCGAATTGCTTGTTCAGAATGGGAGGTGCAGCTATACTTCTTTCAAATAAATGGACAGAGAGGAGGAGATCGAAATACCAACTTTTGCATGCTGTTCGTACAAATAAAGGTGCAGACGACAAGTGTTTTGCTTCCGTTACACAAGAGGAGGATGCTAACGGGAAACTAGGTGTTTCTTTGTCGAAAGAACTCATGGCAGTGGCTGGAGATGCTTTAAAAACCAACATTACTACTCTTGGACCTCTTGTGTTACCGATATCAGAACAATTGCTTTTCTTTGCTACACTCGTTGGTAAGAAACTATTTAAGATGCAGCTGAAGCCTTATATTCCTGATTTCAAACTAGCATTCGAGCATTTCTGTATTCATGCTGGTGGAAGAGCTGTTTTAGATGAAATAGAGAAGAATTTGCATCTTACTGAAAGGCACCTCGAGCCATCAAGAATGACATTGTATCGTTTTGGAAACACTTCGAGTAGCTCTTTATGGTACGAGCTGGCTTATACGGAAGCTAAGAGAAGAGTGAAGAGAGGTGACAGAGTGTGGCAAATAGGATTTGGTTCAGGATTCAAGTGTAATAGTGCTGTATGGAAGGCTTTGAGGACTATAAAGCCAGTAAAGGAAGTGAATCCATGGATGGATGAGATAGATAAGTTTCCCGTGGACGTTCCAAGGGTAGCAAATTTTTAAATACCTAATATGTCATTTAGAAAGCAGAGACAGAGACGGATACAGGATTTGAAGGTAGTTGGTATATTTATTGAGACATAGTAAAGGACAATTTGTTAGTTGTCTATATAAGAGAGTTTTGTTGTCTTTTGGATGTTACCAATTGTTTTAGAGTTCAATCAACTATTTTTGAAACCTTATTAGGTTGTGAGGTTTGATTAAAGCTTGTAATCTTTGACAGATTTATTATTCGAAGGATAATGTTGATAGCCATTTTTCTAATATTGTTACAAATTCTTTTGACAAATGTAGCCGGAATGAATTATGAAAGCTTGAAGCTAAATTTCCTGCATTCTGTTGTCATTATTGATGTGCAAGCTTGTTTGCGCACATCTTAACTATTCAACGAACAATGATAATAAGACATTTATTGCATATAAACTTGTGTATATAATTGTTTGAAATCATCCAACATCCACTCGTCGATGTTGGGAAGATCTCGTATCCCCGTTTCGACAATTCATATTCGTTTATTCGATCAATCAACTGAAAAGGATCATTTAGCAATATTGTTAATCAATTCTATAATGAAGATTGTTTTATCCATTCAGCTCTCCCAAATAGTCGAATTTTTCTTAGACAACGATAAATGTTAAAAGATCTGCTAATTTAATTCATATTTCAAAAATAGATAATTTTATATCTAAACCGCATCACATTAATTATTTAGTATGTGATCAACCATGCTTAAAGATATGAAGGAGCCTGTTGGACTATGCCAACAAAACAATTGTATATCAGGCATTTGCAGACATAAAAACCTCCAAAAATGAAGTACCAACTTTAATCAAATCGTTAATCAGTTGACTAGTGAGTGTGCAGTATTACACCTCCAGCTATATTATCCTTGATCAAGAGTATCCGGTTCTTTGTCACCTTGAATAGCTAGCCGTAAACATCTTGGATGATACGTTTCACCTTTAAATGCTTTGTTTGCATTTTCAGCGAATGACAATACCAAGTTTTAAAGCCAAAATTTAGAAAACATGAATTATTATTATTATTTGATAATTTCTTTTATATATTTATTAATTATAATTTAATAATTATTTTTCTTTCAGTTGAAAATATAACATCCTTGTAATATTTCGTATAACACGAATAGACATATATAAATTATTGTACATTAATTAACACCACAAATGTTTAGATCTGAGGTAAGTTCTTATGTATTATAATTTGAAAACTTTCTCAATTGAATATATTATTACATAAACTATTAGAATTATTCTAGAAGTATTTAAAAATAGAATTAAGATTTCACCTTTTGAGTGTACCAAATACATAGACTATCAATTTTTAGTAGCATAATACTTCATAATACCTTTAGTTACAAAAAAGTATAGTCGTTATCCTCATTATTGTATAATTATTATGCTTTAAAACACGTTCAAAGTTAAAAGAGAATGTCTTTCAAAATTTAGTTTTTTGATCATCTTACTAATTTGAACTTGAAATGTTTATTAGACATTTATTTCAAAACAAAATGAAACTAGTCTTACAAAGCCAAGGTTAAAACCAGGGGCGAACTCACGTGACTCGGTAAGGGTACACATACACTCGCTAACTTCGAAAAAATGATATATATTATATATATATAAAACTAGCAAAACAAAGAATATAATTAACAGTGCAACCATAAATAACATAAATGTGTCCTTGTGCAATTGGTACAAGCTAGTGAGACACAAGTTCAAACCCAGCTAGTTACCTATTTTTATTTTAAATTTGCCTTAGAGCTTATATTAGTGCACCCAAAGTCTTCAAAACCTGGGTTCGCCTCTGGTCGAAACATGAATAGTTCAAATTGAAGTCAATTAAATAACATTAAATTTAGTCTGTCATCAAAGGACAACGGAATATGCAAACATAAAATTCTATGTCTATGCATTTGCAAACACCAAAACCAACTTTTTTGAAGTTATGCAAAAGAGAGTATGGCAACATAACAATTTCTATGTCTAGTTGTAGCACACAGGCTTCCATTACTCCTTAGAAGATTTGTTGATGAGTGATTTGTGAATGTGTGGTATAACACCCCCTCCCGCTATTGTTCCTTTGATCAGAGTGTCAAGTTCTTCATCACCTCGAATTGCTAGCTGCAAATGTCTTGGGGTGATACGTTTCACCTTTAAATCCTTGCTTGCATTTCCAGCCAGCTCCAATACCTCAGCGGTTAGATACTCCAAGATTGCAGCAGAGTAGACAGCTGCAGTAGCACCCACTCTCCCATTGGCGTTGGTTCTCTCCTTCAGCAGTCGATGGATACGCCCAACTGGAAACTGAGAAGGCACAAGACAAACAATTTAGAAACCACAAAGGAAAGTCAGTGTCACATAATCATCTTATTAATCAAATTAGATGAATGAACAAAAATACAAAGACATTAGTACACAGGGCAGTATAACACAAGTTTTGGTATCGTATGCCATTGCCATGATCCATATAGGAGTGTACAACATTATATGGATGCCTTGGCTTTGAAACGACAAAGTATTAATGTCAACTATGAGTCAATTAAAGGGCTCTTAACTTTATGTTCAATATCATGAAAAAGGAATCAGAGTAAAAGAGATAACTATGGTCATTGCCTAATAGTTGAGCAGTTTGCAGGCTAAACTACCACCAAACAGACCTTATTATTCACACAAGTTGTGCAGTGATACAGAAATCAGAATGACCAAATTCTTTTGTATCATTCTCCATTACCGCTAGCAGTATTTTCTTGCATCGTCAAATTCATCACTGGATAGAAACCAGCTCCCTTCACTCCCGCCCCTCCTGTCCCTCTCGCCCAAAAAAAAAAGGGACAGACAATTGCCAACCTGTTAGAAAACAAGTTTCTAATTGATTTGACTTACAATTTCAAAAATTGCTTCCAAAGCTATTTATCTTCACGATCATCGCAAAAAGATCAGTATAAACCTCAGTAACATCAAGCCTTCTCACCTCTATAAACAACGCAGACCAAGTCCTTAAGTTCATTCATGACAAGTTCAATTGATCCTAACCATCATACCAAGATAAGTCCGCCATTGCCAAAAAATTCAAATTTTGTATAGACAGAAGAGGAGACAATCCCTAACCCAAAGCTGCACGAACAACAATGTCAATGCTCATTAGGTCCTCAAAACAAAAAGGAGTGTGTAGCTGGTGATTATGGTTGAATTTATTCCCATGGCTATTTTTCTGCTTCTTCATTTCTGACTACTTTGAATCTATTTCTTGAAAATCCCCCAAACTCATGAATAACCAGGACTATAAACTACCATGTTTCACGTTTTCAACAGCTCTTAAATACAGTCCTTATAAATGAACGGAACAACCCCATAAAGCCATCATGCCAAATTTTGACACCTTATACTAAACCATAAGAAATAGAAAGCAGCTTATTGAAGTACTGCTTTGATATTAACCATTTCCACGGAAGAGAAACACAAACTTAAGTCCATCAACACACTAGATAATCTCAAGATTAGTTCATTGCGAACTTCTTCAACTTTGCTTTAGGTAAAAAAGATAGTTTAGCCTCTTTCGGTTCCTAACATCAAAGCTCAATCCAATCTTAGTGCGTGTAATGTACACAAGAACACAGGCTCTAGTTCAGCTCAAATAAATTGAAATAAAGAATTATTTACAAGTACCTGAAAATCAGCGGGGTAAAAGACAGTGTCTCAAGGGAGAAAATAAAATAATAATAATACAGGACAAAGGTTCCAGTTCAGCGTAATATCATATTGATTAGAATAAAGGTTATATATCTAAGCAATCTACATCTAAAAAATGTGTAAGCCATTACTAAATAGTGGACCAATCTTTTCTAATATGTATTAACCATACACATTTCTTTAGTTGCAAAGTAATAAAAGATATTCCTACGATCCACAAAAAAGGAGGGGAAAACCAGAGGTAGAGTATGGATTTGAACATTATGGTTTCGGATTTGGAATTCTACCACAAACCATTTGATTTAACGATTTTGAACTCTATTATTTGTACTCCCTCCCATCCCAAAATAGTTGTCATGTTTCACTTTTCAATAGTCAATTTGACTAATCATTGGAATGACATTTCATTAGATCAATTTTAAAGTTTGAATTCAAATATTCAAGGAATTACTCGAAAAAGATACTCTAATTAGTAATGGCTTCTCACATATTAAAAATATATTTTAAAGTGTTGGTCAAAGTTCAAATAGTTTGACTCGAAAAATGTGAAAAGTGACAAGTATTTTGGGACCGAGGGAATACTTATTTAGTGGATTATTTAACCACATATACAGGGTCCGAGCCAAATCTATAGGGTTCGGATAATCCCCGAAGTCCTTAACTACCTCTAAGAAGAAAAAAACTAAATACAACAACAAAGAACAACTACGGAACACAAAAAGGATAGTGGTAATAAAGCGAAAAACACAAAAAATTCTAAGGTCCTTTGGAACTTTAAACACAAACCCGAAATAAAATGTGGACTTTAAACGAAAAAAGGAGCAAATAGGAAAAAATATACAAATGTGTTTGTGTAGTCCAACATTAACACTCACAAGCATGATTAACAAATATATAAACGAAAAAATCAAACAAAAACAAAGTGAACTATCAATTTCTTAAAACTCGCTACTTCAAAATCATGCTCATTCCCGAGGAGAAGTACGCCTTAGAACCTTCACGATAACACTAAAGCTCCCATAAAGCTAGACAAAGCACTCAACATGTTTTCGACTTCAATGCTTAAACGCGCAACATCAACAACAAGAAACTTTAACATTTCTCATCAAAATTACTTAATTAAAACAAAAAAATGAGCTTTTAACAGATAAAAATGCGCAAACTTTTCAAATTCAAGCTCAATTCCATATCGAATATCGAATAATAGGAAAATTAAACTATATATCAAAAGAATGAGAAACAACCCATAACTCATTACTAAATAGTGGTCAACTCTTTTCCAATTACACATTTTTATGCAAATTTAACAACTTTGCCAGTAAAACAGAGAACTTCAAATCCAATTTGAATTTTCCAGCCCAAAAAACACAAACCCAGAAACTATAACTCATCAAAAACCCTAATTTACGATCATAAATCAAATAATCAATCCAAAAACATCAAAAAAATGAAGAATTAAGCGCAAACTCAGAAGAAAAAACAAACCTGTAGACCAGCACGAGAAGAACGAGAAGTGGGTTTCTTCTTCTCCTTTTCTTTATCCTTATTAGCCGCTGTTTTCCCCATAATCAAACCCTTAGCTCCTTTTCCCGACATTTTTTCCGGTCGAAATTGGGTGATTTTCCGATTGGATTTTTTTTGATCCAAAAAATTTCAGCACAGTCGAGAGAGACGAGAGTATATAGTGTTTTTATATATATATAAAATAATGTGATTGGGACTGAGCTGGAAGGGGGTGGGGCACAATCTAATGAAAGATTTTTTTGACTATTTTACCCTTGAGTTGTGAATGAAATTACTCTTGAGAAGCATGTGGTTTACTAGATTGAGAAGGGTAAAAGAGTAAATTGACAGAAACTCCAACTTTGTAACTTTTAATTTTTATTATATTTTACTATGGCTTTTCACTGTCATTCATCGAATAAGACTACGTTGCCTAGTTGATTTTTGCTTGGAAGAGGGTTGCTTTCTTTTTTTACTCGTATTGAGAATATGTATATATGCGTTTATAGTATATCTTCTTTTATAGTTAGAGGTTTTGAGTTGTTCGCTTATTAATGTAGTACATGGGTTGGGTTCAGAATGTTGTACAGTTCGATTCATTTTCTATGAGGGCACTAGAACGTTGAGAGGAGCGAGAAGAATATATTTCCGGTGCACCAGTTAACGCTCCTGGTAAATATTGAACAGTCAAGTACGTAGTAGAAAATTATTGTAGTCTATTTTCTTTTGAAACATTTAAAACAAATGAAAATACAAAATATGGCAAAAGTAAATATAACAAGAATTGGTGTGATTTAGGAATGGGATTTGAGGATGATATGAGTGTAAATATCATATTTTATTTCTATTTTATATAAAGTAGTAAGGTTGTTTCGGATAGATCCATAATTATTTAAAAAAAAGTTTGAAAATACAAGAGTTGAGAAGCTCAAATACTTAATGTACTAAAGAGAAAGAATATTGAAAAAAAAAATTAGTAAGATAACCAAATTAAAAGAATTAACGTGAGAGAATCTCAGCAGCTTAATTGATGATTATTTGAAATTTCAACTTGTTCACCAACATGAATTGTGGTGCACTAGTGAGAGTGTCTCACCCTTAACCAGAGGTTTCGGATTCGAGCCCTGGTATAAAGAAAATCATGTACTTGTCACTCCCGAATGAACCCTGCAATGTGTGATCCGAATTCAATCGAAATTTCAATGTGAATTTCAAACACCGAACAAAAAACCATAAAAAACACGAAAATTCAACTTATTCATGAAGGTTCGATTTCCCAACTTCTAATTCTCTCCACATATCTCCTTAATGGAAAGGAGCAAAGGGAGTCAATAAGGTACTCCAAGACAAGATCTTGTTCTCCTCACGAAAGAAAGAAATAACTCAATTATCTATTAATATTTTATCTTAATTTTTTATATTTATTCAGACTCTCAATAAGTTAAAAAATATATTATATTTTATCGAATTACACATTCAAAAATTATTTTTCAATAACTAAAACTCAATGAGTATACATCATCTCTCATGTGACTAGTCACAGAGAATACACTTCAAAGTAAAAAACTTATTTTTGTACATATACTTTTTTGACTTGACCATGATTAATTATTATATGTTATCATGTTATGAGTACTTTATTAAGATATGTCCTTGTAGTAATTGACCTCTTAGATTTAGTTGATTTTATATTGATACTGCAACGATTATTTACACCATAAAATATACTATATAATTCAAATTCTAGTAAAGAACACGTTTACTAGTCAACGCCAGCTGCAACCTAAAATATTCAAGACTTTGGAAAAAGTATATACTACCACTAAGTCAAGTTTGGTTCCCAAACCATTTTGTACGTTTTATGATATATGTCGTTGGTGGAAGATAATAAGTATCCAGTGAAATTAGTTGAGGTGTGTGGAAATTGACTTAAAATTATTACATGGTACGTACTTGTTAGGGGTGGAAAGTAGCAAGTATTTTGTGAAAATAGTCGAGGTGCGCGCCAAGATAACTCATAGGTATAGCAAGTATCCTATCAAATTAGTCGAGGTGCTAGTAAGTTGATCCAAATTGTTCGTGTGAGGTAGAAAGTATACCACGAAACTAGTTCAGGTGCGTATAAGCTTACCCAAAGTTATCTGATACTTGTTGATGTTGGGAGGTGGAAAATATTGTTATACAATTTGTGCTAATTAAAAGAAATTTGCCCAAAACACGACTATCAAAGTTTAAATGAACCAGTAAAGAACAAAAAGTAATTAATAACGACTAAAAAAAAAAAGCATAGTTAAAAATCAAGTACACTGAATGCACAGTATCCCTTAAGGAAATTATCCCCCTCTAGTATCCGATGAAGAATTACTAGTATTTATAGCCAAGAGGAACTAGTTCCGAAATAATCTCTCGATCAATCATTTTTAAGATCCTAAGCCGAGGGACGACGGCATGAGGGGGTTCGTCTTTTCAATACTTTTAACCGCTAATAGAAGTGTTTTTCTATTTTTCTTTCCACCACCAATGAGGAAGAAATGTCTTTTCTTAAAGCATAAGAGAATATTTTTCAATTCCTCTGTTTATCTTTCTTCATTTTTCATTAACTCTTGCTATATCAAACAAATATCCTATAAAATTAGTTAAGATACGCACAAGCTGACTCAGACACCACAGTTACAAGAAAAAAAAAAGAATGGATGCTAGCTAAGACCATCAAAAAAGGAAGAAAATTCCAATAATCTTCCTAATCAATTGAAATTTTTGTGCTTGCCTATTTTGACAAGGTCAACTTTTCAATAGTTTAACAAACAAAATGACTTAAACTTAGTTAACATAATTCAAATATCTTCACAAAAAACTTTCATACTAGAACAATAGTTCTTTAATGGCATGCCTAAAAATCCTACTATTTTTCCTCTTCATGACCATTTCTTTTGCCCAAAACACCACAATATTTCAAGGCCAACACCTTAGAGTTGGAGAAAAACTGGAATCACCAAACAAAGAATTCAGGCTTGAGTTTTTTAGCCTTGATGGCAATAAAACACAATATATAGGCATATTCTACAATTTACCCTCTAACATGACCTTATACCCCGGTGATGATCGCCCCGTTTGGGTTGCAAATCGCGATAGTCCAATACAATATGCATCAGGTAACACTCTCACATTGGATGATGATGGAAACTTGAAAATTTTCTATGGAGAGGATAGTTTTGTTATGTTAAGTTCTTATAATGTAACAACAAGAAATGCAAGTGCTACACTATTTGATAATGGAAATTTTGTGTTAGTGGAATTGAATAGTAACGGTTTAGAGAACAAAACATTGTGGCAAAGTTTTGATTATCCTACTGATACACTGTTACCTGGGATGAAACTAGGGAGAAATGTTAAAACAGGACAAGTGTGGTCACTGGTTTCTTGGATAAGCAAAGATGTACCTGCCTCGGGGTCATTTACGTTTGGTATAGATCCGATTGACATTGACCAATTGATAATATGGTGGATGGGAAGTGTGTTTTGGACGAGTGGACGCTGGGGAAATGAGACCTTTGGTAATGTATCGCGAGTATCACACTATGATTATGTTAGCTTGAGTTATGTTTCGACAGTGGATGAGAAGTATGTGACTTATTCGGTTAGTGAGACTCGAACTTTGTCTAGATATGTAATGGATACGTTTGGTTTTATTAAGGAAAGAGGAGCAGCAGGACCTTTTGGGGTGTGTTTTTACAAGCCTAGTCCTGGTTGTGTGACAGAAGAATCGATAGGGTGCTCGATAAGAAACAATTCGTGGTTCAAGAGAAGGCAAAATAATGTATCTGGTAATAGATTTAGGTTTAAAGACAACAACATGAGTTTATTTGATTGCAAGAGCCAGTGTGAGAAAAACTGTTCTTGTGCTGCTTTTGCCTCTATCACAGCTAATGGAACTGGTTGTGATATTTGGAGTAACGTATCGATTTTGAACTCACTTGAATCGGATGTTTTCATTCTTGATGACGAAAGAGGTATATTCATATTTACTTCGTTGTCTTTTTTATGCTGTTGTCGTGTAACCAGGAGGTAAGGCTGCGTACAGTTGACTCTTGTGGTTCAGGGAAGTGCATTGTTTCTATGTCTAGCAAGTAACGAGAGTTAGTAAAGCGGACTCTAACGATGAATTGTGCAATGTGTTTTTACAGATTTGGTGCCAATAAGAAATCGGAGCAGCACAAATGTACCAAGCACAATCTCACTTCCTCCAGATTTAGCACCAGAACCATCTCCTAATTCAACGTCAGGATCGTCTAAAGGAACTTGTATGTATTTGTGTATAAATCTTGCTCTTGAACTATTGTATATGATTGAAGGTGAAAACCTTTTTTTGATTGTTTCGTCGATATAGTCTATTTAATAAAGAACTACACGTTTTAGGCACGCATTCTTTTGTTGTATCATCATTACACAATCTAGTCCTTGTTACGAGTATACAGACCTTACACAATCTGCACTGTTTTCCTTTTTACTTGTCATGCTTTCTGCATTGTCGTTTTATCCGTTTGTATAACTACTTTGATTTGTTGCTCTTGAGCCGAGGGTCTTTCAGAAACATTCTCTCTACCTCCACATTGTTGGGGTAAGGTCTGTGTATACTCTACCCTCTCCAAACTCCACTTGTGGAATTTCACTCGTTATGTTGTTTTGTTGTTGATGTCTCATTGTGTTGATGCAGCAACAAAATGGTGGATATGGCTTATAGCTGCAATCGGTTTGACACTACTCGTAGGACTTAGCTCCCTATGCTACTTTCTATACGGAAAAGGTGAGCACTCGAAGAATTTAGCTAGAATCTTGCACCAGTAAAATTCAACTATGTTGCTCGGACTCTGCTAAAATGCAAGCCACAGTACTACTCCTGTCGGATCCTTAAAAAAAAACACTACTTTTGACGGATCTGGCACACACCAAACAACATTTTTTAAAAGTCCGAGCAATATAGAAATGCTATACTTGGGTTCTGATCCCCACAACTTCCTCTTTCACTATCAGGGAAAGCAAAAGCAGCAGCTTTGTTATTGCTTAATCAAACAGCAAATGTATCTAAAAAGAGAAAAGTAGACAAGAAAATGAGCCATGAAGTGCAGTTATACAGCCTCGAGAGCCTAGCAATCGCCACAGACAATTTTTCACCAGGAAATAAGCTCGGGGAAGGTGGATTCGGACCTGTTTACAAGGTAAACA